AAAATCCCCACTCTTGGTAAGAGCAATGACTTTCTTGAGCCCTCCCCCAAATCTCTCCAAATACCTGTAAAAAATGGCTCTACACAAATCCGAGAGCAGAACCCATAAAAAGACAGAGTGAAACAAATTTCTAGCTCAAGACAATATGAATGGTTGATTTAAAAGGTTTGTTGCACTAGGCTGGAAGAGGAATGCAGTCCAGCAGCACAGGCAAAGACCAGGCCTCAACTGAACCTGGAGCATGCCTCAGGGGACTGAATCAAGGGGAACTGTGGCATCTTCCAGACTTCTTAACCCACAAACACCAAAGACAACTTAGAAGGTCAGTAGGAAAGGTCTGTCCCACAGTAAGAGAGCTCAGGCCGGCACCAGTCCTGGAATAACACTGGGGCGGTGGCTGCTTCTAGGTCTCGGCCCATAGATGGAGGGGGGATCAAGTGGCTGATCAGAGGGGGATTACAGGATCTCTTTGCTGGCACTGAGGCAGGATTCTCTTGCTTTGCCTGTGCTTGGATCTGGGTTGCAGTTCCGGGTGGCAGTCCTGGGGAGAGGAGGAATGCTGGTGTGTTGGAGCTCGTAGCGGTGGTAGAGAGGGAATCCTCCTCACAGTTACAAGGAAGAAAAGAGTGCTTGTGGTCACTCACAGACCAGAGCCCAGGCCAGGAAAGGAGGTAAACACCTCGCCTTTGATCATACCACCTTGGAAGAACTGAAAATTTACAGGTCCCTAGAAGATCTCTGAAAACAGCTGCACAAAACTCCTGAAGCTTAGGACATCTTCCCCACACTGGAAGCAGACCCCTACCTTAACAAACAGTTTAATGGTCAAGTAATTGGCTGAGTTCACGAACAAACTGTGCAAAAAAACCTCGGAACCATAGAATCTTTCTTTGATGACAAAGAAGATCAAAACATACAACCAGAAGAAGATAACAAAGTCAAAGCTCCTACATCCAAAGGCTCTAAGAAAAATGTGACTTGATCCCAGGCCATGGAAGAGCTCAAAAAATGATTTTGAGAAGAGAATTAGAGGAAAACAAACTGTCCTGATATTCTAGAACCAGAGGGTAAAACAGAAATTAAAAGAATCCACCAATCACCTACTGAAAGAGATTCCCAAAGGAAAACTCCTAAGAATATTATAGCCAAATTCCAGAGTTTCCAGATCAAGGAGAAAATATTACAAGCAGCCAGAAAGAAACAATTCAAATATTGTGGAAACACAACCAGGATAACACAAGATTTAGCAGCTTCTACATTAAAGGATTGGAGGGCTTGGAATATGATATTTTGGAGGTCAAAGGAACTAGGATTACAATCAAGAATCACCTACCCAGCAAAACTGAGTATAATCCTTCAGGGGAAAAAATGGACATTAAGTGAAACAGAGCACTTTCAAGCATTCTTGACGAAAAGACCAAAGCTGTATAGAAAATCTGACTTTTAAATACACGACTCAAGAGAAGCATGAAACAGGAAAGAGAAATCATAAGAGACTTATTAAAGCTGAACTGTTTATATGCCTACATGGAAAGATGATATTAAGGGCAGCTAGGTGGCGCAGCGGATAGAGCACCAGCCTGGATTCAAGAGGACCTGAGTTCAAAATCCAGGCTCAAACACATAACACTAGCTGTGTGACCCTGGGCAAGTCACTCAACCCCACTGCCTAGCCCCCCCCCCCCAAAAAAGGAAGCTCAGAAAGGGGCACCAACACCCAGGGCAGCTTTGTGCCTACTGAGTTCGAGGCACTTTTTAAGGGGCAGTTAGGTAGAGCTGTGGATAGAGCACCAGCCCTGAAGTCAGGAGGACCTGAGTTCAAATACGGCCTCAGACCAAACACTTGACACTTACTAGCTGTGTGACCTTGGGCAAGTCACTTAACCCCAATGGCCTAAAAAATAAAAAATAAATAAATAAAAGAAAGAAAGATGATATTTGTAATTTCACGAGACCATTCTCAGTATTAGGGTAGTAGGAGGGAATATATATAGACAGAAGCTCACAGGGTGAGTTGAATATGAAGGGATGATATTTAAAAAACAAAATTAAGGGGTCAGGACTGTACAGGAGAAGGAGAAAGGGAGAGGTAGAATGGGGTAAATTATCTCACATAAAACAGACGCGAAAAAGCTTTTACAGTGGAGGGGAGAGGGAATGAATGAATCTTACTCTCATTGGGTTTGACTTAAGGCGTAAATAACATACACACTCAATTGGGTATGGAAATAAATCTGTCTTACCCTACAGGAAAATGGAGGGGAAGGGAATGGCGGGGGGGTGGGGGGGGTGTGATAGATAGAAAGGAGGGCAAATTGGGGGAGAGGGTAATCAGAAGCAAACACTTTTGAAGAGGGATAGGGTCAAAGGAGAGAACAGAATAAATGGGAGGTGAGATAGGATGAAGGGAAATACAGTTAGTTTTTCACAACATGGCTATTATGAAAGTGTAACTTGTATCGAGTTGCTTGCCTTCTCAATGAGGGTGGGTGGGGAGCGAGGAAGGGAGAGAATTTGGAATCCAAAGTTTTAAAAACAAATGTTAAAAATTGTTTTTATATGCAACTGAGAAATAAGATATACAGGCAATGGGGTACAGAAATCTATCCTGCCCTATAGGAAAACAGAAAGGGGGGGAGGGGAGAAATGGGGAGAAAATTTGGAACTCAAGATCTTGTGGAAGTGAATGTTGAAAACTAAAAATAAATTAATTAAAAAAAAATCCCCACCTTCTCACTAATCTTCAATCTCTCCCTACTTTCTGCCTAAGGATGACTCCCATCATCCTTAAAAAAAAAAAAAAAAAAAAAAAAACACCTTCACCATTCCTATTAGTTACCATTGATATTTCTTTCCCTTCTAGGCTAGATTCCTTGGAAAAGACAACAACAGGTACCTCCATTTTCTCTCTTATTTCTTTGCCATGTGGCTTCTGACCCCATGATTCAACAAGTCACCAATGACTCTCAATTGCCAAATTTAATGGCCTTTTCTCAAATCTCATGCTTCTTGATCACTCTGAAACTTCTGACACTACTGATCACCCTTTTCCAGGGAACTCTCTTCTCTTCAGGTTTTCATAACACTGTTCTCTCCTGGTTCTTCTACTTGTTATGAGTACTTTTCAATAACCTTCCCTGGATCTTTGTTTAGATCGAGTTGAGGAACCTGCAGCCTTGAGGCCACATATAGCCCTCTCAGTCCTCAAGTGTGGCCCTTTGACTAAATCCAAACTTCACAGAATAAATCCTCTTAATAAAAGCATTTGTTCTGTAAAACACGGACTCAGTCAAACCGCCACACCTGAGGATCTAGAAGGCCACATGTGGCCTCGAGGCCGTATGTTCTCCACTCCTGATCTAGATCATACACACACACTCAGGAACCAAGGATATCTCCCAAAGCTCTGTCTTGGATCTTCTCTCTTTCTTCTATACTATCTTATTTAGTGATCTTGTCAGTTCCCAAGGATTCAATTATTATTTCTATGCAGATACTTCTAAGATCTACATATCCAGATCTATTCTCTTTTTATTACTATATCACCAAATTCTTTTTTAGACTTCTTGAACTATATAGGCACCTCAAACTCAACAGGTCCAAAACAAATCTTATCTTTTCCTCTAAATTCTTTCCTCTTCCCAATTTTCCTTTTACAATAGAGGGGAATATAATCCTCCCAATCACCCACTAGAAAAACCCCTCAGTTATCAACCTAACCACACATTACAACATCTCTCCTCTAAGTCCCTTTCTTTCCACTCTCACAGCCAACAAAACCTTGGTATAGGCCCTCATCACCTCAAGCCTCAACTACTGCAATATTCTTCTGATTGATCCCCCTGCCCCAAGTCTCTCCTCATTCCTTTCCAAGCAGCCATCAAAGGAACCTTCCTAAAGTACAGGTCTGACCATGCTAGCCTCATCATAAACATTAATGGCACCCTATTACTTCTAGGATCTAATATCACCTTCAATACCCCAGCCTTGTCCTACCTTCCAGGCTTCTTAAATTTTATTCCGCTGCATGAATTCTATGATTCACCTGTAACAGCCTACTTGCTAGTCTCTGAACATAATACTCCATCTCTCAACTGTGTGCTTTAGCATTGGCTGATTTTTCCTGGTCTGTCCCTCCCAACCACCCCCAGCTATTAGAGCATTTGCTCTGAAACTACCTTCCATTTACTCTGTATAGAACTTGTATATACATGATGTCTATATGAGCTCCCTGAGGACAAGGTCAATGTTTTTTTCCCTCATTTTATCTGTAGCACTTAGAACAACGAGGGCTGCCTTAGTCAGACCACATTCAGTGTACTATGTTCAGTTTGGGATGTTATAATTTACTAATTAGACAACAGGCTAATTAGTAATTTAGTAATTAGCAAATATATAGTAATTAGTTGGAACAGATCCAGAGAAGGTAAGCAGGGCTATGAGGGCTCTGGTGTGAGGCCATGACACATAAAGGTTAGTTGAAAGAACTAGGAATGGTTAGCTTGGAGAAGAGACCTTACAGAAGGAGCCCAGATGGGAGGTAAAGAAAATAGAAGACGATTGTCTTCATGTATTTGAAAGACTACTAATAAGGCTCCACTGGTTTGTTTTAGTGGACGAAAGTTGTGAATGACCATTAACTAAATAGTAGGTTTCTCTTTTCTTCTTAGGTCTATTTTGCAGGACAGTCACTAGGATTTATATGAGCTGCTTGTTAATAACAAACTACCTTTTTTATACTGTAAAGGTGTTAATGATATACCTGGAGTTATCTTTCCTATAATGTTGACGGATTTACACCAATCCATCTATACCCTCTCACTAGGACGCTGGTAAGCAATGGAATGGATGTCTGTGAATACCAGCCATATAACTAGTATATAGTTAAAGAACAATAGGTTTCCACCCCTTGAAACTAATCTGGCTTTGCCTTATTGTCATTGTATTATGGCCACTAAGCTAAGTACAATCCCAGGTAGCTTTTACTTTTGCAAACTTACGAAAGAGGTACTATGATGAGGAAAGGTCCGTTGATACGCTTGTGTTCCATGAGGTATGTAATTAAAGCAATTGTCTGGATAGTTTTGCCAAGGCCCATTTCATCTGCCAGGATCCCATTCAGATTATTATTATACAAGGACACCAGCCACTCCAAACCCTTAATCTAAAAAGGATAAAAACGCAAACATAGGTAAGTAACATTAAATTGGTTAAAGAGAAAAATATACTTTGAAAAGTATCTCAAATGACAGAGTCTCTTTTTTAAAAGTATATCACTGAAGTAGGAATTGGTGATGAATTGGCCAAATAATAAGGAATCACTTTCCAACTTATTCAATATAGACTAACACATAACTCTAGAGATTCTGGGAATTTAAAAAAAGGTACAAAAAAGTATAATTATTTTTAAGTGGAATATGATATTTTTCTCATGAAAATTTGGGATCTCAGAACAGAAGCAATAAAACTCACTGACCTAGCCAAGTTCTAATTTTTTCAATTCCATCTTGCTTCTAGAAATTTTCATGGGATAAAGGCTTCTTTCTGTGAAACCTCGTATCTGCACTGAGCCAAGACTTTGTGGGGTAGGCCTCAACAAGTGGTTAGCAATAAAAAGGAGTCATGTCCAAACAGAGAAACAATGAGACATACTACTTGAATTAATTGCTCGAGTTCTTTTTACAAACACTCTATTTCTTCCGATGCTATAAAAAAGTCAGTTATTTTGCCCATTCATTCAACCAAATTCAGCACCTATTGCACACAAGGCATTGGGGATAAAAATAAAAAACAAAAAATAATTCCTGGAACTTACATTCTATGGGGAGGAATACAACATTTACACATCTAAGTGAAAGATAATTTGAGGTGAAGGAGAATACTAACAATTATCAGGTTCAAGAGAAACTTTCTGTAGGAGGCAAGACCTCAAGAAATATAGGGTTATAAGTAGGAGAAATGAGAAAGTGTATGGCAGACATGGGAGACACAGTGCCTTTGAAGAGGAACAGACAGACTCCCTCTACCCCTCAGCAAACTACCCCTTGTAATGAATAAAGCGAACTTAGCCTACAACCAATCTAACAAGAGGCACGTACAACATAAAGTGCCTACTGTTCTCTGTTTCTCTATTGGGAGAAAAAAACATGTTTTATCATATGTGCACCAGGTCAGTGCATTTCACTTATAACTACTCTGTTTTAGCAGCTTAAAAAGTAAACATGGTATTCTTGGCCATAAAGAAAAATGATTTGTATTAACATCTATCTGGGAGATGAAGATAAGTATGGCATTCTTCAACTGCTATAATGAACCCACTTTAAGGACATATATTAGAAGAGCAAAAGCTCCACCTGACTGATGCTTGGAAAAGTGTGTTCCCATTCTCTCTCTTACCTGGTATTGTTTGAGTACACCATTCACCATAAGTGTAGACTGTTTGTCCACCCTTTCAGTGACTGCATGGGCCACAGCATAATAAGACTGCAGACCTCGAGCAAGGGCCTGGGAGACACCATACTCATCATCAACATCTTGCTTGGCATTCCTACAGTTTGATAAAATAAGAGTCAGGGAACAGATGCGTGATCTTTGTAATAAATATTCTACCAAAACAAATTTCTTTGGCCATGGTAATACTAGACTACTCCACTGCTTTGTAATGTGGAAAATAGATACCACAATATGGCACTGTGGGAAGAGCTAATGGGCTAGAAGCCAGAACACCTGAGTTCCTACTCTACTACTTACTGTGTCTCCTGGAGCAAAGCACTTTATCTCCAGTTTGCTCAACTGTTACACAAAGAAGGTTTGGATGAGGAGATCACTAAGTCCATTTTAGCTCTAAAGCCTCTAATCTAACTATGCTTTGTAAATTCTTGGGTTCTCAGGTTTTTGAAATATGATGCAGCAGGTTGAGGACAAACCTGAAGTAAGCTTGAGACCTAATTCCACTAACTGCTACTGGCTCACCTGGGCATAATTATCCCTCAGTTCCTCCATTTGCACAACAGTGACTCATGAGGATAAAGACACAAACTAAATATGGAAAATAGCCAAATGTCTCTAATTAAAAAAAAAATTAACTTTTAGGCAGAAGAAGCAAAAGAAAGGTGAGTTCTTTCATGTAAAAGGAAATGAATCTATAATGAAAAATTTCTGGAAAAAAAATCTCTACAGAAACGACTGGATCTGACTTTGGTTTGCACGTAAAATTTTCCAGAGGACTGTTACCTGAAATTTTACTTGGGTCCTGTAATGGAAGGTCAGAAATAGCTGGGTTTCCCTACCTATTTTCTAGTGTCTGGTACAAGTTAGCTATGAATCCAATAAGGTGACTTATTAGGTAAGACCTCCATTCTCACTTATATTATGCTTCTTAGAGGGTGGTAAAGGGTTCCTCTTACTCAATAATATGTCTGGCATCCACTTCAGAGACATCGTCACTGTCTGGATCTGGGATCTTTTTCTTTTCATCCACAGGGAGGGTAGGCTGTGCTGGCTGTGGCTGCTCTTCCTCTTCTTCCTACCAATTCAACAAAAGCCCTTGTTAGTGAGAACCCATTCACGGAATATGCATATGGAGTATTAAGACATTAAAAATTCACCATGATTTCTGTAATGGGCAGCTCTACAAAAAGGAATTCTCTAAGAGATTTGTGCTCTGGGGCACAAGAGGTGTGAACTACAATTCTCAATACTCAGTGAGTATTCTTCAGTGAGAATTCTGTCACTCAAAAACTTACAAAACCACTTTAAAGTGGTAGTGAACTTGTCTGGAAGATGAACTGAACACTGGATTGTGTCCTTTTTTCCTTCTGAATAATCTTAAATTTGGTGTTATTCTGAACTTGATAAACACGAGCAAATATGAGTGTTTATTCCCATATACAAAGAAAAACAAAGATGACGTAAATGAAATTGCAAATTTTATCATCTACAGTTTTTTATGTATGATAAATTCAACAATTTAAGTTTTAAAGCTGTCCTGTTTATCTTTGTGACTTTCTGGACTTCTTTCTATACACTACCAAGAATAAAAAAAGCTCCAGTGATCCCCTTTTCTTTCTTTAAATTTGGCATCACTATCATTAGTCTCCTTTTCCTCAACAAATTCCAATCTTGTGACAAAACACCCTTGTAACAAAGAAGCACAGTTTGATAAAAAAAACGAACCCATGGCTTGGCCATGTCTTAAGATTTAGACCTCATCATTCTGCATCTTGAAGCCACCACCTACTTCTAGGTCAGGAAAATATATTTTTTTCCATATGGCTACTGATAGCTAAGATTTCTTCGTCTGAGGACTGCTCATTCTTAGGCTTTGAATTTTTGCCTATTAGGAAATGTTCTTATATATACTTGAACTGGTTCTTTAAATATCTTGAGTATTATATCAGAAAAACTTTCTGCAAAGACTTTTTCCTTAGTTAACTGTTTTCCTTCTAATTTTAAATATTCTAATTTTGTCTATATAGACTTTCTATTTTATGTAAACACAACTATTGATTTGATGTCCTACGAATGTCTTTCTTCTTTGTTTGATCAAAGACTCTTTCCTTATCCATGGTTGTGAAAGGAATCTCTTTCTTTCCCTCTTCCTCTAATTTGCTAATGATGTGATCTTTTACATCCAGGTAAATGGAAACAACATGAAATGCTGGTGAAAACCGAATTTCTGCCAGACCACTGACCAGTTTTCTCATCAGTTTTTGCTAAATACTGAATCCTTACTTTAGTAAATGGGGTCTTTGGAGTTAACACTTGTAACAGGTTCATTTGCTTTTGGATTTGTGTACCAAATCTACTACAGTAATAACTTTTCCTACTACTTAAGCAAAATAGTTTGTAATTATTTCCTTTATTCTTCATTTGTTGAGAATTCTACTACAAATCTACTACAGTAATAACTTTTCCTACTACTTAAACAATACCAAGCAGTTCTGATGATTATGACTTTGTATATGGGAAAGACACCTCACAGGTGTCCTTCCTTCACATTTCTTTTCATTTTCGAGATTTTTAATCTTTTGTTACTTTAGAAGTCACGATTTTTTCTAGTTCCAGACAGTAATATTTTGATAGTTTGATTGGTTTGGCACTCAATAACTAAGTTAGTTTGAGTAATATTGTGATATTACTATATTGGCATGGATCACTCATCAGCAGTTATTTTTTAAAGTTATTTATGTTTTTTTTATTTTTGTCACAAATGTCTTATTAGTTGTATTCATATAGTCCCTTTGTGTGTTATGGCATGTAGATGCTCAAATATTTTATAATTCTGTAATTATTGTGAATAAATTTCTTTTTATATTTTTCCTGCTAGGTTTAGTTGGTAATTTACAGAAACACCAATGCATTATGTGAATTTTATAATCTGCTACTGGGTTAATGTTTCAATTAATGTTTAAGTTGAATTTCTAAGGTCATCTAAGCAAACTATCATATACCAAAGGCAATACTTTTTTTTTCTCTTTGCTTATGCTTATTTTTTTGAAGGGGTGGGAGCTTGCTATATTCAACAAGTATTTCAAGCATTATATTAAATAATAGTGCTGAATTAATATCCTTATTTTACCCCTAATGTTACTGGAAATGCCTCCTGCATTTCTCTATTCCATAGATATTCCTTACTATATTAAGTAAAAGTCCATTTATTCTAGACTTTTTAGTGTTTTTAACAGAAATGGATACTGTATTTTTGCCAAACACCTTTTCTACATCTACTGAAATAAACATACAATTTTTATTGTTGTAATTAATATAGTCCCTTATGTTTACAGTTTTCCTGACACTGAACCAAGCCTGGCTCTCTAGTACAAACTCAACTTGGTCACACTGTTATAATCTTTTTAATATGATGCTGAGGCCTCTCTGCTAATAGATTAATATTTTGTGTGTGTTGATCTTCATTAGGAATACTAATCAATGGTTTTCTTTCTCCATTTTTTCCCCTCTATGGTTTAAGTACTGAGTCCATATTTGGGCTGGGCAGGTAGGTGATGCAATGGATAGAGTGCCAAGTGTGGAGTCAGGGAGACTCATCTTCCCGAGTTCCAATCTGGTCTTAACTGTGTGACCCTGGACAAGTCACTTAACTCCATTTGCCTCAGTCTCCTCATCTGTAAGATGACCTAGAGAAGGAAATAGTAAACTACTCTGGTATCTTTGCCAAGAAAATCCCAAATAGGGACACAAAGAGTCGGACATGAATGAAATAACCAAACAACCACCACTCTATTTGCGTCAAAGAAAGAAACTGGAAGGATCCTTTCTTTTGCCATTTTTGCAAACAATATATATAATTTTCTTTGTTTAATTTCTTGCTGTTCAGTTGTTTTACAGTCATGTCTGACTCTTCGTGACCCTGTCAGGGGTTTTCTTGGCAAAGGTAATAGAATAGTTTGTCATTTCTATCTCCAGTTGATTTTACAGATAAGGAACTGAAGCAAACAGGGTTAAGTGACTTGCCCAGGGTCACACAAATGGTGTTTGAGTCTGGATTTGACCACAGGAAGATGAGTTTTCTTGACTCCAGGCCTGGCACTTTATCTACTGCACCACATAGTTGTCCTATTTGACAAAATACATTTATAAATCCATTTGTTTTTTAATTTGAGACTTATTCAATTTATTTTTTGAGACTTATTTAAATTCTTTACTTTTTGCTCTGTTAATCTGGGCACATTACATTATTATGAAATTTTAAATGTTTTGTTGGCACACAGTGAGGCAAAACAGTTTCTAATTATTTCCTTTATTCTTCATTTGTTGAGAATTCTACTTTTTTAAATTATTGATACTGGCAACTGTAATTTCTTCTCCTCAAAAGTCAACTAGCTAACAGGTTGTCTTTATTGGTTTTTGTTTTTGTTTTTTAAATTTAGGGAGGAAAAAAACCCCAAGTTCCTTGCATTCCTTTGTTAAACTCTTCGAGTTTCAGAATTTCTACTTTGATGCTTATAGTTGTGGTTTTCACAATTTTTTTTTTCTTTCATAGTTTTCTTAGTTGCTTATCTAATTCACCAATTTGTTCTTTCTCAATTTTTCAGAATTTGTGAAGTATGAACAGCATATGGTGGTTCCACGTTCTCAAATTGCACAGGGTCCTCTGTGTCATTTTCCTTCATTTTCTACTATTTATGCACAGATGCCTGAATTTGTTTATTAGCTACAGGGCATATTTCTTTCTGTTGTTACCATTTTTCCTGCTGATTTATCTGTGTTCAAGATTTTTGAGTTTTCTTCTTCCTGAAATCACCAGTTCTTTCAAACTCCTCTCCCCACAACTTATTTTCCTTATCATTCACTTCCTGATGCCCTCCTCTCTGATTGTGGTTTTCTTGGTGGCTGGATCTCAAAAGTATCTCAGCTTCTTCCCATACTGGGTAATTCACCAGCCTATGTCTCTGTCCCAACTGACTTCTAGATAGTCAGAAATGACCCCACCTGAATCCTGTGCTCTTTCCCTCAGGCTTGGTAGAGTGCTGCACAGACCCCTACACAGGTCATGCTGTTCTGATAACCTATTCCACTGTCTTTTTTCCTTAGTTTTCCAGGCCAACACTGGCAGTTCAGAACCTACTTTCCCTAGAACCAGCAGTCCAGAACTATTAAATGCTGATGCTTCCAGGATGCAGCCCCCAGCAGGCTTTCACTTCTAAAAGGATATGGTCAACTATCAGATTGGCTAATATGACAGAAAAGATAAATGACAAATGTTGAAGGTGATGTGGGAAAATTAGGACACAAATGCGTTGCTGGAGGAATTGTGAACTGATCCAATCACTCTGGAGAACAATTTGGAACCTTGCCCAAAAGGCTATAAAACTGTGCATATCCTTTGATCCAGCAGTATTATTAGGTCTGAATCCCAAAGAGATTTAAAAAAAAAAAAAAAGACAAAGGAAAAGGACCTATATGTACTTACACAAAAAACTTATAAGAGCTCTTTTTGTCATGGCAAAGAATTGGAAATGGAGGGGGATGCCCATCAACAGGGGAATACTTTTGGTATATAATTGTGATAGAATACTACTGTGCTATAAGAAATAACAAGCGGGATGCTTTCAGAAAAACGTGTAAAAATTTTATATGAAATGATACAAAGTGAAGGGAGCAGAACCAGGAGAAAACTGTACGCAGTTAACAGCAATATTATACGATGATCATCTGTGAATGATTTAGCTATTCTCAGCAATACAGTGATCCAAGACAATTCAAAAAGGCTATCTGCTTCCATTCACTCTCTCCACATCTCTATTTCTTTTCTGAGCTTCACATATTTCCTCACCAAGTTGTGCGCATGTGTTTTCAACCCCCCTTCCCTCTTCTGTCTGGTTTAGAGATATTCATGTTGGTGCCCACTTACATTATCATTTCCTCTGTGTTTGTATTCTCTTCTTGCTTACTTCAATTATAAGAAAATAGTAAATTCCACTTTCTCAGTGCATTTTTTTCCCTTTTCTTTCTTTTCAAGACCATCACAACAGTACAAATACACCAAGTCCTCTGTTAATCTTATTTCTCTTTATAACCTTTGAAGACATTAAAGTTCTGAAAAGATACTGTTTCTTCTTCTGCTATTAAAATATAAGCAGTTCATATTTCTCTTGATTTCTCATTTCAAAGTTTCTGCTCTGCTGTTTTTTTTTTTTTCCATTAGGAGTGCTTAAATGTCCTCAACTCCATTACAGATTCTTTTTTTCTCTCTATAGGATTATTGTCAGGTTAAGTTATTTTTCACTGTAAGCCTTTATCTTTTGCTTTTAGAATATCATATCACAAGATATGGTCTCCTCTGCAGTAGTAGATTTCAATTCTAATATGATCCTGACTGCTATTCCTTGGTACTTAAACTCTTTCATTATGGAAGCTTGAAATAGTTTTTCTTTGACCTAGAACCTCTGAACTTTATTTTCATTTAGTTTCTTTCAGGAGGCATTCTGTTATAACGGATCTGGACAGTTTTCATTTCTCATTTCTTTAAAATGGTATTATACCTTTTTTTTGGTCTTGGTTCTCAGGGACTCCAATGATTTTTGGAGTCTTTGACCTAAAGATGACTTCCATTTTCTTCTTTTTCCTGCTTCTGATTTAGTTCTATGATTTCTCGTCTCATGGAGTCACTGATTTGTTTGGTCCATTTTAATTTTTAAGGAGTCCATTATTTGGGTAAAGTTTTTCACCTTTCTGCTGTAAACTGTTTACTTCTCCTTATAATTTTTTTTTTATTCCAGAGCTCTTGATTAATTTATAATTCATGTTTATAATTCCTTGCTTCATTTCATCTACGTATTCTTACAGTTCTTGTGGTCAAGCCATTTCTTCCTCTGAGAGACTCTGTTTCTATTTGTTGAGGAGTTATTCTCTTTAGGGTTGGACTTCTGGTTGTCTTGAGATGCACAAAATTTCTTTATCACAGCTGCTATCTTGTTTTGTCCAGCCTCAGTTCCTGAACTAGGATTTTGGGTCAGGGCCAGGGGTCTCTCCCCTCCCCAACTTTGGGTGGGGTAGTTGGGCTCTGATGAGTCCAGTTCTCTGTTACCCAGGCCTGCTCCCTTAACATTCAATCTACCTCATATCTACCCTCTTCAGTACTGAAAAATTTCAGGCACCCCAGAACAGTTCAAGTTGAGATAACTGGATGTTTAGGGACTTCTGGAGAGTCACAGGCCATGTTACGGACTTCTTGAGCCTCATACACAGTGTTACGGTATGGGCACTGACAGCTCCCAGCCCATATCTGTAATCTGAGTACTGTGGGTTTTCAATTGTCTTGGAGCTTTCTTGTCTAAGCCTTTTGGTCTTCCTGCCCCTGAGTAAAGAGTACTGAGTAAAGACCAAGATTTAGGTGTTCCTGGAACATCTCTGATCTATACTAGCACACTTCCATCTTGTATGACTGTATTCACAATTGTCTCTTCTGGACCACTTTTCTACAGCTTCTGATTATCTTTTTGTATAATCCTAGGCCAGATAAAGATACTTACTATAGCTTCTCCTTGGATTTCTTGATCATTATTTGGTCTGGTACTATTTCTAGGTCTTTGCTGTAGTAAATGTATAAGAGTTAGGCTTTTTTGTGACCACTTACTCAGCCATCTTAAACTGAAGTTCAATGTACTGAACTTTAGAGCCTAATCTCTCCACAAAAGAAAAAAAGCAGACTCCAGCTTCCTATAATTTTTCCCCCAAAATTTTTTATATTTTGCTTAAATGTTACTTTCTTTTTTTTTCTTTAAAGGATCTTTCTATTCCTATGCTTATTACTGTTTTTGTGCTTTTTGGTGAGGCAACTGGGGTTAAGTGACTTGCCCAGAGTGACACAGCTAGTAAGTGTCAAGTGTCTGAGGCCACATTTGAACTCAGGTCCTCCTGATTCCAAGGCCAGAGCTTTATTCACTGTGCTACCAGCTGTACCTTAAATGTTACTTTCTAGAAAATACTGTGGCTTCAATTCTATACTCTTAATGCTGATCACAGTTATTACAACCTTCCTCAATTTACTGACTGAATGTAGCAAAGAATGGTGGCCAATTCTCTGGTGATAACATCCTTCAAAATTTCAGAGAGAGTCTGGTCCTCAAATGCCAGGCACTGTCTGTTAACAAGCCAGTACTTACTTTTTCCTGTTTGACCTGCTATAGCTGCCACTCCCTACTGGCAAAGTCTCTGAAACCTAGAGACCCCTCATTATCAAAATGAAGTAGTGGGGAAGAACTTTTGAAATGTCAGTTCTTCAATCCAACAATTATTTTAAAGTGTCAACAGGTTTAAGTTTTAAGGAACTTCTCACCTCTTCCTCCTCTTCTGAACCACTCTCTTCACTATCAGATCTTGGTGCTACTTCATATCTAAATAGCGAAAATGTTCATGTTATTATACATAGATACAGATACATATCTTACTATAAATATTAAGATAAATTGCTTCAGGTACTTATGGTGTTTATGAATGTGAACAAAATATATTATTAGAGTAAGAGTGATACAACAACTCAAAGACTAGCCAGTGCTAGAGAGAACTGGCTTACATACCCTGGATTCATCTCAAGCCATGCTTCCAATTGTCCTGCTTTGGGGGCATCTGTGCCAGTGAGGATTTTCCCACTTTCTACATGGATCACTTTCACAGGGAGATCACTCATCTGACTGGTTTCATCCAAAGGCTTGAAAAAAACAAAGCATAAAATTTTAAGTTTTCACACACACTTTAAAGTTACCTTAAATACCCAAAATTGACAAACTGAACTTCAGTCAATTTATTCTGAAGTATTCTTTCCACATCCAACTTTCTAACAAATATTTTGTTCTTAATTTTCTATTAATTATATTCTATTATTATTAAAATACAAATAAAGTATATTTATAAAACTTCCCATCACCTACAGCCTATTCAGTTTCTAAAATACTATTGCCAAATTTCCTGAAATTGCACTTATTTCCAAGAAATATCTATGTGTCCTCACTACTTACTGCAGAGCCAGCCTTCATGAGAAGACAAGACAAGGGTGCAATTCCGAAAAGGGAGCCACAATTACCCACCCTTTGAGCTGGCCCTAAGTGCTCTCCAGGATTAACAAAATCCATAATAGTCACTTTACTAAGTGTTTAATTTATTACTATTGTTAAAGTATGAAAAACAACTATTTATTTAACTTACTAATTTCTCTTGATTATATTTACCCTAGTCACTATTTACAGCATTTCCCTCCAGCCCCCCCCCAAAAAAAACAGAAAAGAAGAATTTTTTTCTACTGTACTGAAATGCTGACAAATAGTTTTCTAATGCAAAATTTAATATAATTATATATGTTTAACAAAATATATTATTTCATTAAAGTATGAGGCTAGGTCAAGCTATTTTTTGTAAGAATAAAATAGACCAAACTTTCCAATGTTGGATGACATTTCAATTTTGTAAAAATTTGTTTCCTAACCTCGCCATCTGGTCCAATTGCAGGTGTCTGCCCTTCTGCATTCTCTGCCTTCTGGAATGAAAATAATAAAATTGATTATATAGCACTGCTGAGCATTCAGGGAAATCAAATGCCTGAAAATAAAATATAACCAAAATAACAAACAGAAAAATTGATACAAGTCTATTTTACCTTCTTTTTCTTTTTCTTCTTTTTTTCCTTAGCAACCTGTGCAGCCTTGTGTTGTCGGACCAGTTCTGTAAGATTAGCCACATATTCATCTGTCTGCTGAAGGAGGTATGCTAGGCGCTTATCTTTTTTCTGGTCAATAAGTTTCCTATATCCTTCTTCATCTTCAGCCTACAGAAATTATAAGTTACCTATTCTGAGCATCATTTGCAAAAAGAAAGACTCTACTATGACTGAAAAAGTTAACATAAGATGGACAGTCAGACTCCATCCCCACCCCCAAGACAGTGCTTCCAAGACTTTTACCATCAGTCTCCGCATCCTCTCTTTCTCAATTCGTTCATTTTCTTTCTTCTGCTCCCGCTCAGTATTGGCGTGGTACGTAGCCACTGCTTTTGTAAGTTTTTGGATTTTGCCAGTGACAGATCGATGGTATTCTTTGAAATCCTTGGCATGTTGAAGAATGCTATTGAGGTATTCCTGAAATATGAGACCAGGATATTTAAAATTCTACAGAAATTCTTAGATTATGACTTATTCAAGTTAGGCAAAGAATAAAACAATGATAACTAACATAGGGTAAGTGGGGCTTTGCCACCAGATGACAGTATCTGGGGAGTGTGCCTCTCATTCCCAGGGCACTGATGCTGGGAGTGTGTGGGTGAAGAAGAAGTTGTGTGCAGAAAGAGCAGGGGGGAAAGCACCTATCACATCCCATTGCCTGACCTCAGGCCATCATCTTCCAAGAGTCCACTGATGTTATATCCTTCTCTTTCCTATGACCACACCTGAATGGGGTAAGTTGGCTGTCTTGAGGATCCACACCACAGAGAATCCAGTAATTTATAGTGATGATTATAAACACAAACTGATGTTTCCTTTACAGGGCAGTTTATTTAAAAGTTTTTATTTCTCTGAGTAAGTTTCAATAACTGCCAAGATGCTTTACTAGGACACATACAGCAGCGGTTAATCCAAGGAAACACATATGAGGAGATACTGGATCGTTTGTAAGATTCACCTGGTGCTTTTGCCGGCGTTTCCGCTCTTGTTCGATCTTTTGCTGCTTCTCCAGTTTCTCTGTTATTCTGGCCTCACGAAGGGACTGCCGCTTACTACGTTTGTAAGCCTTGGCATTCAGTGCAGTTTCCAGGGCCGTGTCTCTTCTCATGCATACCACAACTTCCTGACGCAGCTTTTAAATAAGTTCCCATTTTTAAAAAATTAGATACAATATGTAATTACGTAATACTCATAATTACACATTACATAATAGTCATAAAGCCATCAAAAACCAGAAATAGTATTTTCTTCACTGCCTAAAGCATCAAATCTAAGTTTAGACAGAAACCCTGGTAAATAACTAAAAAGATTACGAATACAAATTGGGGGCGTGGCATGTGTACTCAAATGAGAGAACAATCTTATTCAATTAGAACGCCAGTTTATTTCTAGCCAGTTTGTTTTATTACTTATATCACATTTCTGAAATACCATAAAAAAAAAGTGAAATATAGAAGCCATTCTTAGACTTAATCTCAGTCCTAAACCTGATGTCACAGGGGAAATGGTGTAACTGTTCTTCATGAATATAGATTATATGGAGAGTGAATGATAAAAGAAGGGGAGTCAGTACAGCTAACAGTTGAGCATGTGTGTTGAGTTTTGAAAGGATAATTAATTATGTTTTATTTCACTATATTGACAATTGTCTTTTTTTTTTTTTTGGGGTGAGGCAATTAGGGTTAAGTGACTTGTCCACAGTCACACAGCTAGCTAGTGTCAAGTGTCTGAGGCCGAATTTGAACTCAGGTCCTAACTCCAAGGCTGGTGCTCTATCCACTTCACCACCTACCTGCCCCAATTGACAATTATCTAAATGCAGCTACTGTCTTCACTTGCAACATGGATTGAGGTTTTTTTGTTTTTTATTGGAAGGGGATTTAGAGGAAGAAGGAAGGTAGGCACAGTGTTGAGCCACTGCCGCCACCACCACCCCGAAGAAAAGAAAGAAAAGAGGGTCACTGAATCTTTTTTTAAATGCACAAAAGAGAATGGAAGGAAATTCATGAGGAAACAGAGAAGCAGGACAGTTTTGAAAGTAACATGATTAATTTATTAAATACTTAAAAAAAAATTAAATGTAATAGAGATTCATGATTTCACATACATAATCTCTTTTCTGTTCTACTTTGTATATGGAAATATTCTTTTGGAAGGAGTTTGTTGAATTCAGTATTTTAAAAAAGTTTTATGCAATATCCTACCCACTTTCCTCCTTCCCACCTAAATTAAGGTTCACCCAACACTGGCACAATGGTTCAGTCTCAGGAATGTTTCGGTTCTGGTCTGACCCTACCTGTCTCTGGAAGTTTAGCAGTCTGAGTGCTTTGAGTTCAATGGTTGCTTTTGTTCTCAAGTCTCCAGCCAGGGACCCAGGAAGGTTTTCAAGTTCCTGAATTCGATGGGCAATCCGGGCCTGCAATCTGTTGAGGAGAAACCAACCCATTTACATAAGGAGAAGATATAAAAATGATTTTTGCTTACAACGTTTACTCTTGCGCAGATCTAAAAAAAGGACTTTCCAAAAATATAGCTCCTTAAATTGTGCCCTTACTCAGGGTAAAAAATGCTTTAGAAAAACATGTTGTACTATGAATGGACTGGTACAACACAGTTCATCTTAAAAGGACTCAAACATATCATCAACTTATGGCTTTGGAAACAAAATTACATATAGCAAGAGCCTTATATATTACAGCATAGTGAGCTCATAAGATGGTTATATAAGACTAGTTATGACGAATTTCTTACAGATGGTACTTTAATACTGAGGTGTTCAATGCTTTAACATTAAAACTTTTCTGACTGCAAAAAGCACAGATTTCCTAAGAGAATACCACTGCAAAATGCAGTAGTGTGTAATATAATAGTATTAAATAATAATAATAATGTTAAAGACATTCAGAAATTAACATCTTCATAGCTTAGAAAAGATAAATACAACCTTGAGAATGGAAACCTAAGGCTTACCTATACTCTCTCTCTTGCAAAATTTCTACTGGATCAAGTCCTCTTGGCTTCTGAATTGGAGTGATTCGATTCTGTTTCTGATGGAGTTGAACCATGGGGGCAGGTTGGGCTGGCTGCCCAGGGGACTGTGTCTGTGGTGGCATGACAGGAGAAGCTGCAGGAGGTACTGCAGGGGGTGCTGGTGAAGGACGCCCAGTTGGCTGGGGAGGAATCAGTTTCTGAGGTGTGCTAGTGGGGGCTGCAGCATTTGCCATGGGTCCTATTTAAGAATCAAAATAGAAAAAATAAATCGTGACTACTTTCATAACCTTAAAACCTTTAAAGGCAACTAAAAAAAAAAATATGATTGAAAAACCCAAACAGACAAAATCTAAATTTATACTGAGGAAAAAAAATATAAATTGTAACAAAACAGTAACAAATTTATTTTAATAAATTTCTAATCTCTTTTCTGTATTATTTTGTATTTTTATTATGATACCTCAATGGATCTGTGTGGTCTGAAGTGGGTACTAACAATACTGACTACAACCCTCCCATGGCACAGTTTCTCATTTTGTGAACTCTTTGTCTATAACTTCACGGAATCCTGTTCAAAAGCGTCATCCAACACATTTGGGCTTTGCTGTAGTTGTTTTTCCCCTTTATTAGCAGAACTGCATTTTCAGCAATCAATTTGGCAAGCCACTCACTTAGATCCAAACCTACAATGGCTGAGCTCCTCAAACACGGAAAGAGAATGCATGAAGTTAACATCAATAGTCACAAGCTCCCAATAAAATGGAAGGAGAGGAATGATCTCTTCAGTAAAATAAGCTGAGGGTCAAGAGGTAGTTTCCAACTGTACTTTGGATCAGCTATAATTACCCCGTCCCCTCCCTGCTCCCCAACCACTGTGGCTAAGATGGCTCTTGTTTATGCAGTACCAAATGCTTGCAGAATGTTTTACATGAGAAAATGCTATCCACATCCAGAGAAAGAACCATGGAGTTTGAATGCAGATTGAAGAATACTATTTGCTCTTTTTTCTTCTTCTGTTTCCTCTTTCTTGTGGTTCCTCTTATAGGTTCTAATTCTTCCTTACAACATGACTAATGTGAAAATATGTTTAATAGGAATGTATACGTAGAGCCTACATCAGATTGCGCACTGTCTTGGGAAGAGAGGTGGGGAGAAAGGGAGAGAAAAATTTAAAACTCAAACGCTTATGGAAGTGATTGTTGAAAACTAAAAATAAATTAATAAAAAATATTTTTTTATATCATCTCATTTGGTTCCTATGACAACCCTTTAAGGTAGGTATTTCATACTATATTTCACATAGTAGGGAACAGATTCAGAGAGGTTAATGTCACATCGCTCAGGGTCACGTAACTAGTATTAGAGGTAGGATATACAGAATATGGATCTTCTTGACTCCAAGACCACACTTTATTCATCAGAGACACTGCCTCTTATAGTATAATCTCGAATAAATAATTATTACACAGGAATGCAGAGGCAGTAGTTTAAAACATCACATACATATTTACTGAACCAATCAACTCAATCTATGAAAACAAAAAGATCAGAGCAGGGTCTTTAACAGTAACAACAATAAGAGGTTTTTTGTTTTTTTTTTTTAAATGCCTGTACCTTAGAAGAAGTTTCCAAAATGGGAGGGTAGTGGCATTCACTCCTTATCATGGGCAGTGGCTCAGTAAAGTGTGTGCAGACATGATAGAGAATAAGCCTGTACATTATCAAGCTATCAGTTCTTTATAAACCTAACTTGGGCCATCCTCTTGGAATTGCACCCTGTCTTATTGTCTGTCTTCATGCAGATTCTGTAAGGAATGAGACAATTTTACTTCTGTTTCTTTGAAACATCTTGAGTCGGAAAGCGTTGTGGGAACACATAGTGAAGTCACCATCATGCATGTAACACAACAGTAGGATGAACAAAAAAAGGGTTCCTTCCTCTAGTTCTCTTGCCAGTGTGGAGATCCAGAGGGGCATGTGAGCTATACAGTTGGTATATCTCATATTCAACACAAGACCAGCTTATTTTATGTTCGAGGCATACATCTCTCTTTTTGCCACTTTTTTGTGCAATTTTTGGTTGATGATAGATTCTAATTATGACCAAAAAAGCAGTAGCAACAATGTTTTATTCTAATCCGGCTACCGTGGCTCTACCTTACTATCCACATTTCTATGTATTTTTTATACTTGCCATTTTTTACAATGTTAATATCTCATTTTTCTCAGTTACTGGACATGTAGATTGTTTTCAATTTTTCACTACTTCAACTAGATATGAATATTTTTGTATTTTTTTTTAAAAGCCAGGGCTTTCTCCCATTCTGCCCTTTGTACCACTTAAAAATATTTTTAGGATATAGTCCAGGAGAGGGATCTTTCTAAAAGGGAACAATCAATTTTGTAGCTTAATCTAAACAGAGGTAATGAGGTAGCCTATTGGACAGATGCTGGATTAGGATTCAGCAAGATGCGAATTTCCCTTTTGCCTGAGACAGTTGTATCACTGGGAACACTTCAGTTTTCTCATCTGTAAAATGGGGATTGTAACAACATCTACATCATGGGGACGTTGCAAGGGTGAAACAGAATAATACATGTAAAGAGCTATGTAAATTTTAAAGTACTATATAACATGGCTTTTATTATTATTGTTGTTATGTTGCCAGAGTAATGTGTGAAAAAGTAGAAAGGCAGATTTAGATTTGATATAAAGAGAAAAACTTTTTAACAAGAGCTATCCTAAAGTAAAACAGCTGCCTCATGAGGTAATGAGTTGCCCTCACCAGAGGTCTTTAACCAAAGACTACACAACTATCTGTCTGGCATGCAGTTTAAGGGGGATCAATTCTTCTTCTTGCACAGTTTGGACTGTATGGACTTCTAACGGTCCATTCAAGTGGTTTCTACTCTATTGGTTCACATGAAATAGACAAAAACTTTGTCAAAGGCCTTTAGCTCACTGGCAAAAAGACAGAAAAGAACTGTTGACAAGAAGGCATGGAAGGGCTCTGAGATACATCAAATCGAGGGAGGACCTATGCTGATAAAGTCATGGATCCATTGTGCTGTTATTATTCATTATGATACTACTCTCCAAAATGCTTAGATCATTTATTTACAAGCCAAGAAATCATATTGTAGAGTGCCTGATATCCCATAGGCTATCAACAAAGAATTCTATCATTATTAATTACTTTTGCAAACTTAGCCAATTAATCAAGATTTCTCTAATTACTGGTGAGTGTGAACAATTTTAACAATTTTTCAAATGGTAATGAACAACTTAAGCTTTCTCCTTTGAAAGCAAGAAATTTTGTGTCAAACATCTCCAATAATCTCTCAGATATATCTCTATATTGAAGATATATAGGCAATAAACACAAAATATAAGACCAAGAGCCATTCTCCAACAGATAAATGGACAAAATACATGAACAAACAAGTCACAAAGGAAGAACTACAGACTATTTTAATAATTATATGAAAGACTACTCCAAATCACAAACAATAAAAGGAATGCAAATCAAAATAATTCTGAGACTCCACCTCACATCTAGCAAACTTACAAAAGATGACAAAGATCAACAATCAATTTTGGAGGGGTGGTGAAAAGACAAGCACATTAATTTCCATTGCTGATGGAGCTATGATTTGGTCCAACCATTCTTGAAAACAGTTTAGAATTATGCCAAGAAAGTGATCAAAATGTGTATATCCTTTGACCCCAAATACTACTGCTAGGTATATAACCCAAGAAAGTTGAAGACAGAAACAAAGGTCTGATACATAATTAAGTATTTATAACATCAATTACTGAAGTAGAAAATAAGTGGAAACAAAAGAAATACCTGTCAAGTGGGGAATGGTTAAACAAATTGAAGTCCACGACTATAATGGACTATTACTTTGCCATAAGAAATTAACAAAGTAGCAAGAAACCAATATGTATATTGGGATTAGATATTGTGTACAAAGACTAAAATAATTTAAATGAATAGACAATAAAAAAACCTTCCAGTTTCTGTGATCCTATGAACGCTGGGTCATTATAAGGAACAACACAGACCTAGAAGAACAAAAAAATGCATCTTCTTCCCTCCTTTGCAGAGGTGGAGAACTATGCTGTAGAACACTGCAAATACTATGAGAATTTGTTGATTGTGTTGGTTGTTTTATTTTTTTCATCTTGTTTATCCTTTGTTATGAAGGATGGCACTCTGATTAGGGGAGGGATACATGTGAAAATGAAGGTATTGGCTGAGCAATAAAGATGACAATTCTACCTAAATCAATTTACTTATTCAGTGCCACACCAAACTACTAAAAAAGTATTTTATAGAGCTAGAAAAAATAATAACAAAATTCATCTAGAACAACAAAAGGTCAAGAATATCAAGGGAATTAATGAAAAGAAATGCAAAGGAAGGTGGCCTAGCCATATCAAATCTAAAACTATATTATAAAGCAGCAATCATCAAAACTATTGGGTACTGGCTAAGAAGTAGAGAGGTGGCTCAGTGGAATAGGCTACGTACACAAGACACAGTAGTCAATGACTACAGTAATCTATTGTTTGATAAACCCACAGACTCCAGTTTCTGCAATAAGAACTCACTATTTGACAAAAACTGCTGGGAAAAGTGGAAAACAGTATGGCAGAAACTAGGCACAGACCAACATCTTACACTGTATATCAAGATAAGGTCAAAATGGGTACATGATTTAGACATAAAGGGTGATGGCATAATCAAATTAGGAGAGCAAGGAATAGTTTGTCAGATCTATGGAGAAGGGAAGAATTTAGGACCAAATAAGAGACAGAGTACATTAAAAAATGCAAAATGGATAATTCTGATTACTTTAAAAAGTTTTTGCACAGAGCCAAACGAAAAAAGAAAATGAAGGTGATATAAAAACAAAGCTATCAATAAATAAAATTTAGATTAAAAAAGAAAATTATTCATATCTTTTGCAGAGTAGATAATTATCCTTATAGATAAATTTTGTATCAGTTTCTTAGAGTCCAGATGTCAGATCTACATCAGATACAGTAATTACAGAAACTTTTTTTTTCCACTTCAGAAACATGGCATTCTGTAACATAAGATTCTTTTATTTTTTGGATAATAAATCTATCAATTCTGTCTCCAACAATTTCTTCCATTTGTTTAAAAGATACATTTTTCTGCTCTCCCCACAATGAAGGTGAAGATATATTATTATTTTTTCTTATTA